TAGTTTTTAGAACTTAGAAAATAGAATTAATAGCAGAGACAGCTACATGAGGAACCAAGTTCCACCCATTCCCTTCCACCCCAGCTCCCCCTCACCTCAGTTTTCTCCCACTTACCACCAACCGCCTCTGCTTCTGTCCTTGCTTGCTTGCTCTCCCCCAGGGTCAACAAGAAATGCAAGTTGAAAGAGTTTGTACGAAGCCCACTATAAGATAAAAAAGTAGCTAAAAGTCAAGGCTGATCTCTGAGAACTGGGGATCAGTCGTCTGCTGGTTTTTCTCCATTTGACTTTTGTTTGGCTCTGGTGGTCCCTCAGTTCATTCGTGCCCGACTCTCAGCACATGCTTTTGATGACCATGAAGATGCTTCAACTCAGCACATGCCTGTCATGACCCCGAGGATGCTCCAACTCAGCACAGGCCTCTGGCGCCCCCGAGGATGCTGCAGCTCAGCACAGGCCTCTGGCGCCCCCGAGGATGCTGCAACTCAGCACAGGCATCTGGCGCCCCCGAGGATGCTGCAGATCAGCACAGGCCTCTGGCGACCCCCCGAGGATGCTGCACCTCAGCACAGGCCTCTGGCGACCCCGAGGATGCTGCACCTCAGCACAGGCCTCTGGCGCCCCCCGAGGATGCTGCACCTCAGCACAGGCCTCTGGCGACCCCGAGGATGCTGCAGCTCAGCACAGGCCTCTGGCGACCCCGAGGATGCTGCAGCTCAGCACAGGCCTCTGGCGACCCCGAGGATGCTGCACCTCAGCACAGGCCTCTGGCGACCCCGAGGATGCTGCACCTCAGCACAGGCCTCTGGCGCCCCCGAGGATGCTGCAACTCAGCACAGGCCTCTGGCGACCCTGAGGATGCTGCAGCTCAGCACAGGCCTCTGGCGCCCCCGAGGATGCTGCAACTCAGCACAGGCCTCTGGCGCCCCCGAGGATTCTGCAGCTCAGCACAGGCCTCTGGCGACCCCGAGGATGCTGCAGCTCAGCACAGGCCTCTGGCGCCCCCGAGGATGCTGCAACCCAGCAGATGTTTCTGATGACAGTGGACATGGTTTAACGCAACACACACTTCTGATGATCGTGGAGATGGTGATACTCAGCACATGCTTATGTTGACAGTGGATATGGTGGAATTCAGCACACGCCTCTGATGACCGTGGAGATGGTGTAACCTAACACATGCTTCTTACAACCGTGGTGATGGTGGATACTTTCCTACTGTAAATGTTGAGCCAAAAACGCTTCTCTTGTCTGCAGAATTATTGTCTGGTGAATCAAGTCTTCTCATGTTGCACAACTGTGTGTTTCTTGAACTGCAGTGCTACCTCAAGCCACGAAGTTCTGCCATCTGGGCATAACAATCAAGACTCTGGGACATCTTCTGACTATGTGGTTGGCCTCTCTAAACCGTGGACATGGTGGAACTTAGCAGAACCTTCTGACGACCATGCAGACGCTGGAACTCAGCACATGCTTCTGATCAATGTGGAGATGTTGCAATTTAGCACATGCTTCTGACAACTGTGGAGATGGTGGAACTCAGCACAAACTTTTGACGACTGTGGAGATGGTAGAACTCAGCACAGACTTCTGATGACCGTGAAGATGGTGTAACTCAGCACATGCTTCTGACAACTTTGGACATGGTGGATACTCTCCTACTGTAAATATTGAGCAGAAACTCAGCATCTTTTGACTATGGCCTTACCTAGGCCATCCGGGACTTTAATACTTAGACTGGTTTTACTTTGTTTGTTTTGAGGTCTTTCTTTTTGGATGGTCTTATGCAACTACATTTCAAAAAAAACTGGATGACCCTCCTAGCCAACCCCTGCCACCCGAGGCTGTGGCCAGGGGAAGAGGCTGGGACCCCATCATGAAGGTGCCCAGCTTGGAGGGAATTGTTATCAGTTGCTTCTTTTCCAGCTGCAACGCTGCTGCTGGGGTTACCGCTGCTGGGGTTGGTGTGCGCGTCCCCAGGGCCATGCTGGACGGGTGGGCAGGGAGCGGCCGTGCTGGACTCTGGGCTAAGTGGGGGCGTGTTGTTCTTTGCTTCCGCACTGTGTGGGAGGGGGGGCGGCTTTGCTGTCAGGCTTGCTAGGAGGCAGGCAGGGTCTTGATTGTTATGCCCAGATGGCAGAACTTCGTGGCTTGAGGTAGCACTGCAGTTCAAGTCAGAGGAGGGGCAGGGTCTCACCCTGATCTTGCGGCCCTTCATTTTTTTCTTGTTCTCAACTAGTAGCATGTATGTCCCCATAATATCATTTAATTTTTTGTTGTTGACAGATTCCTGGATCTCCTGTGTGTCAAAACCAAGCTTTTCCATGTCTTCTGTTACCTGGGGGTCCAGGTCACCCCAGGCTGGCTCGATGTATGGCCTCAGTTCCTCATCTTGGTCCTTATTGACCCATGGGTCTTTCATAATCTCTTCTAGCGTTGGTCTTTCATCGCTGTTTACCGTTAACAGTTTATGTAAAAGTGTGAGACATTCTTCACTTATATACGATGGTTCAGTAAATTTTCCATTAGTTATTAGTTGTTGCATTTCAAAATATGAACGTCCCTTAAACGGCATTTCTCCAGTAACCATGACATACAGTGTTACCCCCAAGCTCCACGTATCCACAGTCGGGCCATAATAAGGTGTGAATGTCACAGCCTCTGGGGGCATATAGGCCATGGTGCCATGGAAGGTGTTGATTTTTTCTTCATCGAATGCTACACTTAGCCCAAAGTCAGTGATTTTTATATTTTTGTTCGCATCCAGGAGGATGTTTTCCGGTTTTATGTCCCTGTGGACGATGCCCTGCTGGTGGCAATAATGGACTGCGGACACCAGCTGTCGAAACATGGTCCGGGCTTCTGCCTCCGGGATGTGGCCGCTCTTTGTGATGTAATCTTGGAGGTGACCTCCAGCAGCGTACTCCAGGATGATGCATGTGGAGTCTGCAGTGGAGACCACTTCATATATTTTGATTATATTTTCATGACTAAGTGTTTTTAAATAATTAACTTCTTCTGCCCCGTCCGTGGTCTCCTTCGACAGGACCTTAATCGCGACATCAGCGCCTGTCGGCAGGTGGCGAGCCGACAGCACCCAGGCGAACGAACCCCGGCCAAGGATGTCTAGCAAGATGTAATTTCCAATACGACACTCCTCGGCATCAGGGGGGACTTCTGAGTCATCAGACATGATGGCTTCAACATAAAAAATTAGAGATGTCCGGTCACGATGGCAGCATGGGTGAATGCGGTATCGCGTCCTCCCACAACCACATCAAAGTTACAGCTAAACTACAGAACAACCATCATTCCAAACCACCTGAAATCCAGCTGAATGGAAGTCCTACAACTACAACATTACAGCAGCAGCCACATGGAGACTGGTAGGAGGGGCAGAGGAGGACAGGCTGGTCCCACGCCCATGTGTGGTGGATAAAAATCAGGAGGACACCTCGGCTGGGAAGGTGTCCTCCCTAAGGACTGAGGGTTCCCTGTCTCACCCTAGGTGCCCTGCTCAGGGTTCCAGTGCCCGGAAGAGAATCCCCATAACTTCTGGCCAAAAAAACCAGTGGGAACTGAGGCTGAAGCGGCTGGGGCCCCAGGCAGCTCCTTAAAGGGCCCGCGCACGGACTTATCGGACTCTGTCCCTCTAAGCTTGGAGGGGAGGCAGCTGGAGGGGCGCCAGAGACATACAGGGAAGAACTGAGCTGTTTGGCACTGGAGCGAGGGCTGGAGAGGGGGCTTTCTCTGGGACAAATGTGCTGTTAAAGGCCTTTGTTCCTTTGGTGAGCCCCTCCCTGGGGCGGAATACAGCCGCCATATCTGGGACTCCAGCAACCAGCTCACACTGGTAGCCCCGCCCTGGTGATTCCCTGAGGCCCCGCCCCACCCAATTTTTAGGCCCACAAAAGCTTAACCATATGATTGGACTGTCTTGAATCCTGCTTCAGGTTTTCCTAAATTATTTCAAATGAGCAGCATCTGGTCTCAGGTAGCCCCATACCCCCTGTTAAGTAGTACATAGAAACAAACACAGGGAGGCAGCCAAAATGAGGAGACAAAGAAACTGGTCCCAAATGAAAGAACAGAAAAAATCTCCAGGAAAAGAACTAAGCGAAATGGAGATAAGCAACCTAACAGATGCTGAGTTCAAAATACTGCTTATAAAGATGCTCAGTGAACTTAGTGAGAACCTCAGTGAACTTAGTGAGGGCCTCAAGAGCATAAGAAAGGACCAGTCAGAAATGAAGGAGGCACTAACTGAAATAAAGAATAATTTACCAAGATTCAATAGTAGAGTAGGCAAGGCCAAGAAGCAAATCATTTATTTAGAATCTAAGGAAGCAAAAAACACCCAATCAGAACAGCAAAAAGAAAAAAGAATCCAAAAAATGAGGATAGTGTAAGGAGCCTCAGAGACAACTTCAAGCGTGCCAACATTCTCATCTTGGGGGTGCCAGAAGGAGAAGAGAGAGAACAAGAAATCGAAAACCTATTTGAAACAATAATGGCAGAAAACTTTCCTAACGTGGTGAAGGAAACAGACATACAAGTCCAGGAAGAACCTCAGAAAAATGAGAAACATCTGTAATACATTCAACAATAAAGATAAAAAAAAATAAAAACAAAACAAAATAAAAAACTAAATGAATATAACAAATAAACAAAAATAAAATTGAAGAGAAAAGAAAAATAAGAACAAAAATAAGACAATAAAAAATAAAATAACAAAAGAAAAAAGAATAAACACAAATAACAAATATTTAAAAGAAAAAATGATAAACGAAACAACCAACAAAAATGCCAAAATCCAAAACGCAAGCTCACCAATCGAAGTCCAAGAGGTCGCAAAAGTCAGTTCACTAGTTTCCGTCCAACAATTCACAATTCACAATTCACAATTCACCACAGATCCGCCCACTACTCCAACGCCACAACTCTCCACAGATCAGCTTCCAGAGCAAGGGCCTTATATAGGATGGTTTGCCATTCCCTCACAATGGTGCCTTATGACATCAGAGCAAGACATGGACCAGCTCTGGCTGGGGGTAAACCACAGTGGTTTTCTCACTTTTGGTCTCATAGCCCTTTTACTCTGGAAAATAATTAAAAGAGCCACAAAGAGCTTTTTTTTTATTGTGTGGACTATTAAAGATTGATATTTACTTTATTAGAAATAAAAATCTGCAAGGTGAAGAAACAAATTAAAATGAAGCCTGACTTTTTCTCATGATCCAGGTCTCAGTTCAGATTTCCCCTGTCTGGAGAGGGCTTCCCTGATCCATCCACTCCTACACACCTCACCCAGCTCATCACGTTTGTGGTCCTCATGGCACTGACCACGGAGCAGCTGATTCTTGATTACTGTCTGTCCTTCCCATGAAGGGAGAAGCACAGCTGTAATGTTCCCTGTGTCTAGTACAGAGTGGCAACAAATCAGTGTTCAAAAAATAATTGTTCACTGGATTAATAGAAGAGTTTGGTGGAACAAAAGAGAATATGGTCAATTATTTAACCAAACTGATTTATTTTTTAAAATTCTTAAAAAACAGTCATGTTCTATCCTCACTCAGCTTCTGGGGCAGATACGATAGGCAAGAGGAGGGCTGAAGGCTGAGTGTCCAGGTATGTGGGTGCTTGCTGAGGCTGAGGAAAGGCCACCTGGTAGGAGCCTTGCCTTAACGGTTAAAGATGAGTCCTCCCTCCAGTGGGACTTGCCACAGGAGGCAATGCATTTGGATCTGCAATGAGGCTGAAGGGTATTTTTTTTTAAAAAAGTATTTTATTTTATTTATTTTATAAATTTGTTTTTGTTACAGATGTTTCTCCTTTTTCCCCACTGACACCCTTCTTTCCATCCACCTGCACCACCCCCAGCTTTGATGTCTATGTCCATTGGTTATGCATACATGCATGTAAGTTCTGTGGTTTATCCTCCCCCAAACCCCCTCCTTCAAGTCTTGTGAGTCTGTACCCCACCTCTATGTCTCTGGGTCAATTTTATTCATCAGATTGTTTAGTTCATTATATTCCAAAAATAAGTGAGATCATGTGATATTTGTCTCTCTCTGCTTGGCTTGTTTCACTTAGCATAATACTCTCCAGGTCCTTCTATGCCATCTCAAAGGATAAGAGATTTTTTTTTCTTACAACTGTGTAGTATTTTATTGTGTACATGTACCACAGCTTTTTTATCCACTCCTATACTGATGGACACTTGGGTTATTTCCAGATCTTAGCTATTGTAAATAGTGCTGCTATGAACATAGGGGTACATCTATTTTATCTGATTGGTATTTCAGGTTTCCTAGGGTATATTCCTAGAGGTGGGATCTGGGTCAAATGGCAGTTCGATTTTTAACTTTTGAAGGAACACCATAGTGTTTTCCACAGTGGCTACTGCACCAGCCTGCATTCCCACCAGCAGTGTACTGGAGTCTTCTTTTCTCCACACCCTCGCCAACACTTGTTCTTGGATGATTTGTTGATGGCAGCCATTCTGACAGGTGCGAGGTAGTACCTCACAGTTGTTTTAATTTGCATCTCTCTGATGATTCATGATATTGAACATTTCTTCATATGTCTCTTGACCATTTGTATGTCCTGTTTGGAGAGGTGTCTATTTAGGTCCTCTGCCCATTTTTAAATTGGTTTCTTTGTCTTCCTTTTGTCAAGTTGTACGAGCACTCTATATATTTTGGAAATTAACCCCTTATCTGATGCATCATTGGCAATTTTGTTCTCCATGTAGTGGGATCCCGTTCTGATTAATGGTTATTTCTTTTGCTGTGCAGAAGATTTTTAGTTTAATGTAGCCTCATGGGCTTATTTTTTCCTTTCATTCTCTTTCCTTTGGTGTTGTATCAGTGACAATTTTGTTGTGAATGATGTCTGAAATTTTGTTGCCTGCGTTTTTTTCTAGAATTTTTATGGATTCACGAGGTACATTTAAGTCTTTTATCCATTTTTAGTTTATTCTCATGTATGGTGTAAGTTGGTGTTCTAGAAAGGAGGAAGTGAAACTGTCATTATTTGCAGATGACATGATATTGTACATAGAAAACCCTAAAGACTCCATCAAAAATATACTAGACTTAATAAATTTGGCAAAGTAGGAGGATTCAAAATAACATCAAGAAATCGATGGCATTCTTATATACCAATGATGAAATCTCAGAGAGAGAAACTAAAAAAACAATTTCATTTACCATCGCAGCAATAAAATTAAGATACCTAGGAATAAACTTTACTAAAGAAGTAAAGGAACTCTTCACAGAAAACTACAGGTCATTGAAAATAAGAAATAGAGGAAGATATAAAAAAGTAGAAGCATATACCTTGTTCATGGATTGGAAGAATTAACATCATTAAAATGTTTATACTACCCAAAGCAATCTATAGGTGCAATGCGATCCTCATCAAAATATATACATTATCCACAGAACTAGAAAAAATACACTCCAAAAGTTTATATTGAACCAAACCAAACCAAACCAAACCAAACAAAAACCTCAAATAGCCACAGCAATCTTGTAAAAGAAGAACTAAGTAGGAAGGATCACATTGCCATATTTCAGGTTATACTACAAAGCCACTGTAATCAAAACAGACTGGTACTGGCCCAAGAACAGGCAGATAGATCAATGGAACAGAAGAGAGAACCCAGACATTGACCCAAGATAATATGCTCAATTGATATTTGACAAAGGTGGCAAGAGCATACAGCGCAGTAAAGACAGTCTCTTCAATAAATGGATTTAAGAAAATTGGACAGCTACTTGCAGGGTGTTTTTACACCTTGAATATCCACTGTTAGATGACACAAAGGATTCCTTAGGTGACCCTGAGTCGGTCTTTTAGGTAAATTTTTGTGTTACTTAAATGAACCTTTTCTGTGGAGAGAAGAGATGATGAGGCCTTTTAATTTACATTTATGAAAGACTTTGAAATCTCTGGATGAAAGAATTTCTGCGGAGGTACAAAGGGTGAGGCAATATGTTGGGGCATATTTTACCCTTTATGGAGGCAGAGAAGGAGCAAGCAGGATCGAGGACACTTAGGGGAGCCTCCGGCATACTATGTTTCGAACTAATCCTTGAAGAAAGCTCCCTACTTTTAGTACATTGAGTGTTTTAATCACATGGACAATGTACTATTGTAGTAGTAAGTTTCCTTTAACATTTATCTCCT